GGTTACGATATCAAATAGATGTAAAATATTTTTGCAATATTAATTCGATGTTGATATGATATCACTACGATGTGGTTACGATATCAAATAAAATGTCAAATATTTTGTAATATTAATTCAATGTTAATACAATATACGATATCAAATAAAATGTCAAATATTTTGTAATATTAATTCAATATTAATATGACATCAATACGATGTAGTTACGATATCAAATAAATGTCAAATATTTTTGTAATATTAATTCAATGTTAATACGACATCACTACGATGTGGTTACGTGATAATATTTACATCGCATAATGATCGCAACGATATCGCAGAGATATCGAACTAATCAATATCGAATAAATACAGTTACGACTAACTTAACGATGTCGAATCTATTTTTTATCAAAATATCGAAATGATATCATAATGATATCATTGCGATATCTAATCAATATCGATTGTAAACTCCAAGTTTCAGCAAAGCACTGCAATATATATAATTGGTTGGATGATTATGAATCCTATCATCTACATATAGCTTTCCATATATTGTAATATATCCATTCTTAGAAAGGATTCTTGGGTTCTCTTCTAGTATTTTCCTAAATGGATCACGAATACGAGAGCACCACATTTCTGGTGTTTCATGATCATGTTTTTCTGCTAAAGGCAATATTGCAACAATAATTCTTATATATTCTTCAGAGCCTCCAATATAAATATATAGAAAAAATTTTCTATTCAACATAATTGTGAATAGGGATGGCAATGGTTATGGTCATAACTGGTCATGACTATTGTGTGTATGAATTAACTTGGAATAGGCTTTACTATCTAAATCCATATTAGCGTTTTGCAATATTATACTCTAATAAATCCAAATTCATTTTTATTCGATTGTTCAGGTAAAAATCAATTTTTGATTTGGCTAAATTGTAAAATTTGTATCACATGTGATCTCCCTAAATCCCATTATATCCTTCCTGCCAGTTCCACAACAGTTTCCCGTTCCTGGTTTCTAGATCATGGGATTATTGGCCAATCAGAGTAGCAAAAACCACAGGATGATCATTGTGTATTTGCCATTATTACATTTTTTTCCATCTAAACAATTATAATGGCCTGGATACCATCTAGTACAAATGTTTCCACCTGAATTTGAGGTGCATTAGCGCTTAAAAGAAAATCAAACAAATTACGGTTTTGATATGCCGTAATTTAATACTAAAAGATTAAGATCGCACAATATCTAAGATCACACACAATCTGGTTTCAAACATTTATCAGTTATGTTAAGTAGCATAGTACAATACGTTTATTGGTTTATTGGTAACAGACTACGGTTATTACATTTAGCTAACACATACATCACATAATACATGAGATGTGAGCAAACAAATAAAAAACCAAATAATCCATCTCACGTGCAGTTAGTTGTTGATAACGTTTAGATAATTATTACTGAGTGTTCATTATTAAACTAGAATAGTGCTCGATATCTGGTAAAAACTACAGATGGTACTTGCGAGAATAATTAAAATGAAGAATTCACCCCACATGTTTTCCGATTAACTTATGAAGGTTTGTTTTTTTTAGGGGTACGATTTGTATTCAACTCTTGTTCAGTTTTAAATGTAATTTGCCGTCGTTTCCCTTAGTATTTTCTAACAATAATTCCTTAACGAGTTTTTCGGTCTCAAGCGATTTATTCTACATTTATTTGATCGACAAGTTAGATGGATATTTGTATTAATACTATTAACAAAGATCAATATTTACTTCAAGTGATTTGAGAATGCAGTACGCGTCTTCAAATATCTCACATTCATTCTCGGCTGACGGTAATCTGCATTGATCGACTAAACCAAATCTGTATATGCCGGCTCCTAACCAGTTTATAGCATAAAAGTTGAGATATAGACCTATATACACATAAAAATGGTATTCGTTAGTGAGTTAAATCTGCATAAGTGTAATGGCGCAAGTAAGACCTACCAATTTGAAGCCAGCCATATATTATTAAATTCATACATTTTTCAGACGATACATATTTGCATTCTTTTAGCAAACGGTTAATGTTATCACGCATAATGATCATCAGCTTTAACTTATCAAGATAGCACTTCTTACGACAGGCAGTAGGAGTGCCAAATGTATCCAACCCTCCTGCTACCTCTCCGTAAATAACTTTAAATTTATTGGAGGTTTGGATCAAAGTACTTTTTATATCTACTTTTCTACCCATGCGTGCTCTTTTAAATGGGTTTCCTTTTTCATTACGTGCATAATTGGTCGACAAGGCTTGAACTTCCCCCTTACATATATAGAATAGTTATTGTTAATTCTTTAACATTAATATTTGGCAAAAAACAAAAGAAACTTACCAGGTATTTTTAATCTTGCCAGTAGTAAATATCCCACGGAAGAGTGGGAATACTGTGCTCATTTTTAGTTCTTCCTCTGTCATTATTCCCTAAAAGCTAACCATATCGCTTTTTCTGTATATCAATTCAGAGTCAGAATACTATATAGACAACAAAATATAATCAAAGGAAACTTATACATACCATCAGGAAATTTTTTAAGATGCAGAACTGCGGAGATCTGTAAAATTAGCAGATCTCTGCATTTTTTTAATGAATTTATGCGGAAGTCTGCGATTTTGCAGATTTTCACTTTTTATTTTTTACAAAGTTATGCAATAATCTGCAATTTTGCATATTTCCAATTTTTTATGTATACATTTCTGCGGAAAGTCTGCGATTTTGCAGATTTCTGCTTTTTTTTATGTAAAATTTATGCGGAAGTCTGCAATTTTGCAGATTTTTGCTTTTTTTTCATTAAAATATCAGTTCGATCTGCAATTTTATCATTGATTTAATATTTAAACTTTAATTAACTCTAACTTGATTTAATACCTAAATGATTTTTTCTACAATACTCTTTAAAAAAAAAACTTTACAAGACTTTAAAAAAATAATTTTTTCTACAATACTTATTACTAAAGAAAAAAACTTTGTGAAATAATTTTTTCTACAACACCTTTCAGGAAATAATCTGTTAAAGATTCTAAAGAAAAAATATTTCTATTATTTTTTAAGCTTTGAAACTTATCAGAGAAATTTTTTTTTTTAAAAAAAAAATTTATTTGCAAGGTTCGGAGTCTTTAAGGCAAATTCGTCCAACATTCAGCACATAATCTGCAACATGCAGGGAAATCAGAACTAAAAAAGGAGTCGTATTCCTTTTTTTTCTTCTTTAAAAAAAAAAAAATTTTTTTTAATGAACGTCAGTTAACGTTCAGTTTGTAAGTCAAGAACATAATAGAGCTTATTGTCAATTTTAATTTGAAGGTATATCACCTCCGAAACTTTAATTATTTTTAAAGAAAAAAAAATTTTTTTATATTATATAGGTTCCAGATGGAACCTATCGATGATTTAGTTTGGAATTCGGAGGTATGCTTACCTCCAAAATTTAATTTATTTTTTAAAAAAAAAAAATAATTTTTTTTTATATTATATAGGTTCTGGATGGAACCTATCGATGATTTTAGTTGGAATTCGGAGGTATGCTTACCTCTGAAATTTAATTTATTTTTTTTAAAAAAAATAATTTTTTTTATATATTATATAGGTTCCGGATAGAACCTATCAAAGATATTGGAATTCAGAGGTATGCTTACTTCCGAATCTTAATTAATTTTTTTAATATTATATAGGTTCCAGATAGAACCTATCAAAGATATTGGAATTTGAAGGTATATTAACTTCCGAATCTTAATTTATTTTTTTAAAAAAAAAATTTTTTTTTATATTATATAGGTTCCGGATGGAACCTATCAAAGATATTGGAATTTGGAGGTATGCTTACCTCTGAATCTTAATTTTTTTTTTTTAAAAAAAAATAATTTTTTTTATATATTATATATAGGTTCCGGATGGAACCCATCAAAGATATTGGAATTCAGAGGTATGCTTACCTCCGAATTTTTTTAAAAAAAAACAATTTTTTTTTATATTATATAGGTTCCGGATAGAACCTATCAAAGATATTGGAATTTGGAGGTATGCTTACCTCTGAATCTTAATTTATTTTTTTAAAAAAAAAATAATTTTTTTTATATATTATATAGGTTCCGGATGGAACCCATCAAAGATATTGGAATTCAGAGGTATGCTTACCTCCGAAATTTAATTTATTTTTTAAAAAAAAAAATAATTTTTTTTTATATTATATAGGTTCGGATGGAACCTATCGATGATTTTGAAATTCAGAGGTATATTAACTTCTGAATCTTTAATTTTATTTAACGAACGTCACTAACGTTCATTTTCATATTTTTAGGTCCTGGATGCTGAAGATCAGCTCCGGACTCTTATTTCGAAGGTAAAAATCTTCAAAATATTTTTTTTTTATATTTTAACTTTAACGAACGTTAGTTACGTTCATTTTTGTATTTTATAGGTCCTAACGCCAAAAAATGGCTCCGGACTTTACTTTGAAGGTAAAACTTTCGAAAAAAAAAATATTTTGTTTTATTAACTTTATTGACGAATGTTAACTAATGTTTCGTCTTATTTTTTTTTAGATAAAGGAAGCTGAAACTGAGTTCCGGGCTCCTATATCGAAGGTGAAACAAACCTTCGAAAAAAAAAATTAATTTTTTTTAAAATTAATTTATATTGACGAACATTAACTAACGTTTCATCTTTTTTTTAGTTAAAGGAAGCCGAAAGACAAACCGGACTTCCATATCAAAGGTAAAACCTTCAAAAAAAAAATATATATATATATATTTAATTTTATTGACGAACGTTAACAACGTTTGTATTTCCTTTTTTTTTAGGTAAAGGAATCCGAAAACGAGTTCCGGGCTCCTATATCGAAGGTAAATTTAACCTTTGAATTTTTTTTTCTTTTTATTTAAACGATCGTTCACTAACGTTCGTTATTCTTTTTTTTTAGGTAAAGGAAGCCGAAAGAACTTCCATATCAAAGGTAAAATCTTCGATTTTTTTTTTATTATTTTATTTAATGAACGTTACTAATTCTAACGTTCATTTTTTTACTTTTCATAGGTACAACCGTACAAGAAACTGAAAGGCAGGTTCCGGTCTTATATTTCAAAGGTAAGGCTTCGAAATTTCATTTTACTTTTTTTCTTTTATTTTAGCGAAACGTTTACTAACGTTTCAGCTTTTTTTTTTGTAGGCCCATGGCTTTCCGGAGCTTCATTTCGAAGGTTATATCCTTTATATCCTTCAAAAATATATTTTTTTTTATTAGTTTTTTTTTTACGAACGTTAACTAACATTCGTTTTCATTTTTGTAGGTCCAAGATGCTGAAGGTACGTGTTTCATACTTGATTTCGAAGGTAAATAACTTTTGAAAAAAAAGGGTGTCTTTTTTTTTAACGAACGTTCACTAACGTTTGTTTTTCTCTTCTTTATAGGTCCAGGATGCCGAAGGACTTTAATTTTAAAGGTAAACTTCAATTTTATTTTTTATTTTTTATTCTTTTTTTGTTTATTTTAACGAAACGTTATTAACGTTTCGATTTTTTTTAGGTTTCCAGCTCTCCCGAACTCTTCTGGACTGAATTTCGAAGGTATTTTTTCGAAATTCTTTTATTTCTTTATTTTATTTTATTTTTGTAAAAGAACGTTAACGTTCTTTATTCTTTTTTTTTAGATTTTCAGCTTTCTAGTTCCAGCCTGGACAGAATTTTCAACATGGTTAGTTTCGTAATGAACTTTTCGTTACGAAACACATTTTTTTTTTATTTTATTTAAACGAAACATTACTAACGTTTCGATTTCTTTTTCTTTTTCTGGTAGCCACCTGGATTGGACGGAATTTCGAAGGTGAAATTCAAAATTATTTTATTTTTATTTTTTATTTGAACGAAACGTAGATTAACGTTTTAATTTTTACTTTTTGCAGGTTTACGGCTTCTGGATGGAATTTTGAAGGTAAAATTCCTTCAAATTCTTTTATGTTTTTTTTTTATTTAGCGAAACATTTTCTAACGTTT